TTTGTTCAGACACTTTTTAATGATAACAGTTTTTTTCAATGCCAATGTCAGGTAATATAGAATTTACAACAAAAACTTGAGTGCTATACTTTCACCAACTTTTATGGAGACCTGAACTTTCAAACCAAAAGGCACTAGCAGGAAATATTATCCAGTATTGTCCTGACTTGTTGGTAGTGTACATGGCCACTTATATGGTATGATTAATTTGAGGAGTATCATAGTTTCTAATCACCCACATTTTTTCCCTGCTAACTAAATAACAGCCAAAATTCTACAAATTCAAGACTTATTGCATTAGTTCCAGGTTTTATGTTTAGTGTTGAAATGTAAATATCTCTGAAAGGGGATTACATTGCAATTAACTGTTAACTGTTTATTGCTTGGATTGAAATATATTCATCAGGTTTTCCTCTAAAACAGGCTTAGAAGGGTAAATTATGGAAAGAAAGAGATGTATCATTTGAGGTAGACAAAAACTCATGCCCAAGAAGGAAAGAATATAGAATGGAGAGACCAAAAAAATTCTTTTGGCCATTTCATAATTTTTTTTCTGAGCATTACACTGGTTTTAGACTTTTAAAAATGACTTGATATTTAATATTTTATTTTATGAAACTTAATTAATCTTGATATCTTTGAAAAAGACAGATAGTAAAGGCTTTGAGATAGTCTGAATTGAATATTGATTTAAAAAAAATATATAAGCTCCTTGAAGTCAGGACCTAATCTAATTCGCCTTAGCGTTTTTACTGATTAACGTATAATAGGTATCTCAAAAAACCTGTAACAAATAATTAGCATGAAATTATCAAATGAGGAGACTAAATGGCAGGAATACTCCTATAGTTAGGTTCCCAGGATCAGCCAACCATTCACATTTACATGGCTGCCAATCATATTGTGTGGACAGAATGTCAGCGATTAGTGCCGTTATTAAAGATCTAAACTATGTACAGGTGGTGGGCCCTGTAAGCGCATAGGTTTATTCACCAGCTGGATTCTGAACAATGACTGTCGACTCCCACAGCCCCCATTGTGTCAGGTGTAAGTATTATTACTAAAGCAGATTACTAAGGCCTCCCACACATACACCACTGATTTGGCAAATGTGCTCTTTTCCTTTATAATTAAAAAAAAGAGAATATAAAACAGTTTGCATTCATGTTGGCCCCTTCCAATCTGGAAGTAACAGCAGTTCATCTTCACAAAGATAAATACATATTTTAGTTAAGAGTTTGTTTTCCCTTCCTTTAGAGCAGTGGTTCTCAACCTTCTGGCCCTTTAAATACAGTTCCTCATGTTGTGACCCAACCTTAGAATTATTTTCGTTGCTACTTCATAACTGTAATGTTGCTACTGTTATGAATTGTAATGTAAATATCAAAAATATAAGTCTTTGTTTTACTATGGTTGCAAATATCAAAAAATTTCTATATGTGACACGGCACCAGAGTTAAGTTAGGGTTTTTCAAAATGCTGACACGCCGAGCTCAAAAGGTTCGCCATCACTGGCCTAGATGAAACAGATCATTATCTAGGGAAATAACATTTACCCCCGTAGAAAGCTTAAACAGGCTAATTTCCACAGAAGCTCTGAAGAAATTTATCAGGGAACTACCCCATAAAAAGCTCCAATTTGAGATGGTTTCCCAGGGGAATTCCACTAAAGCCCCACAGATAAGATAGTCCAAATGTGTCACAAGTTATGCCAGAGCATTAAAACTGAAGGCTTCCTAATTATTTTGATGAAACAAATGCAACATTGATACCTAAATCTGATAATTAAGTACAAAAATAAAAGTAGAGATCAATATCACTTATAAATATTGATGTAGAATAAAAATATTAGTAGAATTAGCATTAGATTAGAAAAAATAATAGACCATGATCAATTAAAATTTTTTTAATGAAATAGAAAATAGTCATTATATAGAAACAATCAGTATATAGAATTTATGAAGAAATATTCATTATATAAAAATAATTAATAGAAAATCCTTTACCATAATATACTATATAAATAGATCTAAAAGAAAAAATATAATTACCTCCCTAGATGTTGAAAACATAACAAATATTTGACAAAATATATATATATATATGACAAACTATAACAACCATCTTATTAAAACCACTAAGAAATAGGAATTGAATATTTTTAACATGATAAAATATATGCATATTTTAATTTTAATTCCAGCATTTACTTCATGATGAAACATAGTATTTCCATTAAGATCAGGAGCAAGGCAAGAATGCACACTACTTCTAATTCTTCTACACCATACCATGGTACTACAATGCCATTCAACATGAGAATTAAACGAGAGGTGTGAGAACTGAGAAAGAAGAACTAAAATGATCTCTATTTGAAAAATTACATGAGAGCATGTCTACAAAATTTTTAAAAAATCAGTGATAAAGCTAACTCAAAGATACGAAACCATTAAGATAGCAGGATGTAAAAGTAATGTTCAGAAATCAATAATCTTCATATACTATACAGAAACCTGTTAGAGAATAGAATGATAGAGAAAATCCCATTTACAACTGCAACAACAAAGATGAAATAGGAACAAGTTTAATAAGGAATGTACAGAAACCTATATGAGGAAAACTTTAAAACATTCCTGAAAAAAACAAAAATAGACTTAAATGAAAGGCATACATTGTTCTTGGAGAGGATGATTCAATATATCACTGCTCCCTAAATTAATTTATAAATAGAAGTCAAACCTAATAAATATAATAAGAATATTTTTTAGTGAAGCCAGATAGACTTATGGTAAAGTTTATATTGAAAAACAAGTATGCAATTTTAGGAAGTAAAACATTTAGTCTTGTGTCCTCTCCCTCTCTCCCCCTTTACCTTTGCTCCTGTTACACATGAGTCAAAAACACAAGTCCGATCACTTCCTTCCCTTGCTTAAAAATCTTTCATCATTGCCTACAGGATAAAGTCTAAATTCAGCACAACATAGGAGACCTTTTATCTGAGAAAATTCATGTACTGTACAAGTAGAAACTTTCCCGGCTTGCTATAATATTAAACATATTAATTTTAAATTCTTGGACCTGCAATTCTCTTAAAAGCCTAATGTTGGATAAAAAGTGTTGCCTAATATATGATTGCCGACATATTTTATTCTTATGATCAAGAAGAAGTTACAATCTTTGGACTAGGCCCTGTTTCTCAAAACAACCTTGCATCAGCTCTTGGGAAAGCATAGGTTATGTCTTCAGCCCCATGAAAAAATGCAATACAGGTGAGGAGGACAAATGGTCACAGACTTGCTGAGTCAGGGCTCAGGACCCTGCATGACAAGTGCAGAAGGCAAAGCCAATGCAACGGTGCTGTGAATGGTGACTGCAATCATAGGCTCAAAGGCAACAGAGAAAAGGAAACATCCCAGGAAGACTGAGTATTAAGTAAAAACATGGCCCATGTATCCTTTAACCTGACTTTATAAAAAAAAAAAAAAAAGGAAATGATTCAAAACCACTCTAAGAGCAAGGAGGTGACACCGTCCTTCCTAGCGCGCATACCATCTACAACTGAAGTTACAACAGAACAACCCATGTTCATCATAACAGCCTTCAAAGGTAATAAAAGGTAAACTAGGTTCTGTATCCTCAGTACGAGAAGACAGGTAGATACGATTCATCCAGGAAGATTTGCATAAGAGATGATTTTTGAAATGCAGGCTCATAAAATATATGAACTTATGTTAGTCTCTTAGTTACTGTTTTAATGACCCACTAGTAACTGTTTTAATTACTCATAACAACTTCCTTCTTCCCAGAATGATGACATCCATATAGTGTTGTGTTTTACCTCCTGGCATCTCCTTATTAATAAAAGTAGGTACACAATGTAGTTTTTTTAGAGTTTTGAACTATCAATATACAACGTGTTTTAAATTTGACAATAAATAAGAAGAGACATTTGTTGAAGAAACCAGCCAACCCTGAAAGACAGCTGTGGAGTAACTAGATCTTACGGTTTACACGGATAGTGAGAAAGCATCCACACAGAGTGAAAAGGCATCCACACAGAGTTCCTAGAAGCAATGCCCATGGCTGTGACACTGGGGGAACGTTATTGCTCTGAGTTATGTATTCTGAAGCCAAAAATTCATTTTCTCAGTTTCACTGCTCAGTCCATGACTCGGAATTGGATGTATGTGTATGTGTGTGTTTCTACTAGCATGTGTATACAGGGTGTCCCCAAAAATGTATACACCCATTTTGAATAATTACACAGGCAGTGTTTATTAAATTAAATTTCATTTTCAAAATTGAGCTCTCAGCTATCAAAGTATGTATACATTTTGGGGGACACCCTGTATGAATATATATTTTGACATATTTCTGAACTAGAGTGAACTTCAGGAGCTTTAGCTCCTGAGGTATGTATCTCTTTGACTCATTAAGTGATTTTTAAAAACTCAAATGTTTCACCTCAGAAGTTTATGTTCTATGTTGTAGGCTTGGGGGGGCGGGGGGGGGGGGCCATTGTTCATCAAGCATTAAGCCAAAGTCAAAATTTCAAAAAATACACAGCAAATTTGATGTATGTACCACAGACATCAAATTGTACTTATTGTACTTATTCTAAGGAATGGGATACAAATTATACCTGCATAGAGCAAAACTGGAAGCATTTTGCATTAAAAATTCAGTGCAGTTTACTAGTATGTCCTGAAACTTGATTAGAAGCCCCAAGTATGTGTTATTAATAGTTGTGCAGAACAAATAAACCAGCTGTGATAGAATCAGGACTATAATATGGCTAATAATACCTTTTTATTTTTTATTTTTAGGGGGTAACTGTCACATATCTCCTGACACAAAAGAAAACATTTAATCCAGACTATTTGCAAAGATGTAAACTTTAAAGAGAACCTTTCAAAAGCCTATTATGTAAAAACATGTTTTATCAAATGTAATTTCTACTATTTTTTCCCAAATATATCATCTTCCCACCAACATTTTACCTCTGGTCCTGGAAGGCCAGATGGTCCTTGGGGTCCTGGGTCACCTGCTTTGCCCTAAAATGGGGTAAGGAGGAAATACAAGTATAAACATTAATTTAATGAATACAATTTAAAGGGAAAAAGACACATGGTAAGCAGACAGCACTCAATATATTATGCCACACAAAGTTGTAATGACATTTCAGCACACAACACTAATATACTGTCAAACAAAGTTGTAACCACTATTCAGAAAGACTTCATTTGTAATTATGACTGTAGAGAATGTATTTAAATAACATGTGTTTGCATGTGATATACATTTATTCTTTAGCGTTAGGCATACAAACAATGTAGTGATTTAAGGGCTCAAATAAAGAAAAAAAGTGTGTGTGTGTACATGTTACCCAGAGATAAGACAATAAATTTGGAAACA